CCAGCCCCCTTCTCTGAACTTTTTTAAAGCTACCATTTAAGGTCCTTCGGTTGAATGCAACAGAACAGATTCTAGCTAACCTAAGCCAAAAAAGAAAATGTATTAGAATAATGTAGGGTGGTTCACAGAGTCAATGGAAAAAAATGAGCCACCAAGCTTGGGGAGAACAGTATCAGGGGTGGTTCAGGGCACCAGAAAGCAGGAACTCACTGACAACCTCTACTAAAGAAAAGTCTTGAGCAGCTTTAACTAGACTCTCTTGGTTCACTCTGCTCAAAATTCAAAATCTTGGCAAAAATTCTCAGAATATCCTTGCTTGGGTACCATGTTCATCTCTTAACCTGGAGAAGACAGGACAATCTGTCAGTTCCACCAAGACTGGAGTAAGGCGGGTTGATGGTTGTTCCTCAACGGAAAACTGAGGTACTGTTTGTTATCAGAAGATGGAATGGAGGGTGCTGCACACAGCAGATGTCCACTGCACCCATTTATTGCAACCTCTTATGATACAGTGTTTCCCTGTTTCTGTCTGTCCAAACCCCATTTATCCTTCCAGGAGATCTCCTGGGACACAATCTCACCTCCTCTGAATTCCTAGAGCTCTTTGCTCTGCTCTAGTGAGCCTGATGGTCATAAGAGATTAGTTTCTGTAGTTTTTTCTTTTGCTTTATCTCCAGCTCCTCAAAGGCAGAAACCATTCTTGACATATCTTTGTCCTACCTCTGTATTTAGCACAGAGAGCAGGACATGGTAGCAGTTCACTAAATGTTTACTGAATGAATCAATCAGTTTTAGCATTTAGCAATATATTTGTTATTCACAGAGAAACTGAATAAAAGAAAAATAGCATATATTTACACACACATACATACACGCACACACAAGATATAGATCTATAGATATATGCATATATATACACATATTTGTTTATATATATGTGTATATTATTCAAAGATGAATAAAACACCATAAATGCTTAATTTTCTATGAAACATAACAGAACCATCAAAAATAGCTGAAGTCTATTTTCACATATGCTCAACTGAAAAAGTTGGATTTTGCCCAGCAGCTCATGAAGCTGATGGTGTGGTAGCCTGACTCTTACCTAAGAGCAAACTGTCTATGGAGGCAGTTAGTTCCTGAATTAGGACTGGAACCATCCCTTCAACTCCAACTCTCTAGAGCAATAGAAACATAATGCAAGTAATATATATGTAATTTAAAATTTTCTAGTAGCCGAATTTTAAAAAGTAAAAAGAAACAAGTGAAATTAATATTAATAACATGTTTTTAGTTTTAACAATATTTAATCCAAGATATTACCATTTTACTATGTGCAATAGCCACATTTCAAGTGCTAATAGCTACATGTAGACATTACAACTCTAGAGCCACATATATTTTAAGCAGACCACAGTATTCGTAAGTAAAAAAGGACTCTTCTGAATTATTTCACTATGACCACCTTGCAAAGGCAAGAGAAAAATCACAGAACAATGTCTATGGCTTCATGTGGCTATGTGTAGAGGTCTTCCTAAGTCCTCCAGGGCTTGGCATAACTAAGCTGCTAGACTCAAGCATTTCCTTCAAGAATGGGCACCCGTCTTGCCCCACCACTTACACTTCTCTCTCCTGATTTACTCCTTGATATCCTGAGTTTAAAGCCCAACTCCAATTTCATATCCAAAAGTCTCTGATCACTCACCTCCTTTCAAATGCAGGTGTTCATCAAGAGAAATTCACCTAATTAGTCTGGGCACAGAAAGGAAGCATGAATTGAAGTCCAAGGTTCCTTGAAGAGTTCAATTAATATGACAAAGTCTGAAGAGCTAGGTCCTGGCTAACCCTACCAGCTGCTGTCTTCAACAGCAGCAGCAATAGCACTAATAGATAGTTTATCACATACTTTTTCTGTGCAAGAACTATGCTAACGTGTTATACGTTTTATTTAACTTGATGTTTACAATATTGTAAGGTCAAAGCTATTATCCCTCTGCCCACAAATGGAGGAGGCAGGCTTAGAGAAGTGAAGCAATTTGCCCATGATTGTACATCTAGTAAGTAGCAGAACCTGGATTCTAAACAGATCTGATATCATGTCTGAGTCTTAAGCACTTTGCCATATTTTCTTGGTACATTCCTGACTGTAGCCTCAAAGTGATAGGATTCACAATAGACCATTGATCTCTGTGAACCGTGAGGTAAACAACTAATTGCAATCAAATGAGAAACGTTAAATCCGGGAGCCTGCTTGATGTAATGGAAACTGCACCTGTGGAAAGTATCCCCTAGTTAGGAATTCATTCCCATCACCAGAGGAAAAGGAACTTCAGAATAAAGTATTAATTGTGGTTTCTGCTCATCCATTTTCCTGACTTTCCCACAGAACATTAAAAATCAATTTTTAAAAACAGTGCAATAAGAGTGTTAATTAAGAAGGGACTTAGCCATCTCAACAGTCTAATTACTAAGATTAGTTAAGATTCAAACACTTTAAGAGTAAAGTCTTTTATTGTTTAAAACATATCACAAAGTAATCAATTTTTTTAAAAATAAAGCTTTAAAATGTTCGACCTTTACTATTCTCTTTGGAAGTAACACTTTTAATCCATCGTATATGCACAGCAGAGAGTAAAGTTCATTTCTATAGACCCAACCCACTCCATTTCATTTTAAATAAGTTAATATGTAGAAAATGGACTGCTTTGGCTGGAATGTTTGCCCTAATTTTTAACATTCTTAACTCAAACAAATTATATTTCTTCTTTTCTTGGTCAATTTTAGCTGAGCACCACACCACTAATGATGTCCAAAGATATAATTATATTTAATCATACTGTTTTTGCCATGGTTATACATATTAATTTCTGTTAGTCCACAAACATACATCTGAAATTCATAATTACATATTTTTCATCTTTTTCTATTTATCAATTAGAAACAGTTAATAAAGGGAGCAAGCACACGTCATTATCAAGAAGAACACCACTGCATTTAAAAGAATTATGATTATTAAATTATTCAAGTCAGTGAGCATTTTTTCCAGTGTCAGCAATACAATCTCCTCTCAACAGTGATGTAGCTGCTGTGTTTGGGCCTTCCTTTATACTACAGCTAAGGAGAGGCATGGCTTTATTTTCAAGGTACTTAATTCAAAGGTTTCCTTCTCTGTGGTAAGAATTGTTACATTAAATTATAAAAGCAAGAAAAACTCGATTGTAACAAAATCTGTTTTCTTAGAAACAGTTGTTACAACTTTGCACCTGGGGATGACTTTGTTACTTTATAAAACAGCTTCCTAATACAAAAGCTGTTAGCGCAAACAAATGTTTCTACTGCTAAAACGATTACAATTGAAATGAACAAAAACCCAACTGAGACCACAAATCCTGATATTCTGAGGCTCTGGGACTCAATTCAAAGGAATTAGTCGCCAACAACAACAACAAAAATCAAGATGATCTTGGGCAGTGGAGAAAAGCAGAACTGAAGAGAAGAGGCGAGGTGATGTGTCATGAAGTGATGAGGCCATCAGCCACTTTCTCCACAAAAATCTCCCAGGCAGCAGAGTTTGGTGGTTTATGCTACCTTGCTTCTCTCCTCTTGTTCCCTTACTTGGACTCAGAAACCTCTTTAAGACATCCTCCACCTCCTCAAAACTAACTGGGACTTCAGGAGATGAGTGGGGTGTAAGTTCAGAGATCCTGGCTCCAAGCAAATATCCCTATTAACAGAAAATAGGTGGTGGGGGGGAACAAAGAAATAAAGGAAGAAAATTATTTATAAACACATAAGTTTTGGGGGAAGTAGGGAAAGGGAAAGAGGGATGACAACTTAGGTCCAGGAGAAATTATTGCTGGCACCGAGGACTTGACTGACAAGGTGGGTAAATGAAGGTGCCCACCAGTCCACAGATCAATGACAATCCCCTTTTCTACACTTTACACCCCAGAGTTAAGGTAAGACCAAGTCTAGCAGACCAATGACAGTTCAATTTCACTACCAAAACAACCAAAAAGCAAAAATCTTATGCGTAACTAACTACTCAGATTTGTATTTAGAGAAAGATAAATTCTAAAACATCATCTTACAAACAATGGTCACAAAGTATCATATTTATATTCATCTACTTATTCACTTAAACATTTTCCTGAGCCCCTAGTAAGTAAATATCAAGGAAATAAGAGCTCCCACCTTCACATAGTTGACATAGCATGGAAAGTAAGACATGCTAAAACACAAAAACAAACAAAAGCATTTCTGGATGGGAGATGTGTAATTTTAAAAGTGAGAAAATTATCCTGTACTGAGTTTTACATAAAATTGGGTTATAGGGCCCCAAGAATGATGAGAAACGAGAAATGGGGGTGGGAGTATGAAAAATACTAATGATAATAGCAGCTAACACACAAGAAAGGGCTTTACATATGTTATATCATTTAATCTTCACGACAACCCTACAAGAGAGGTACGATTCTCCCCATTTTACCAAGAGAGTTGAGAGAGGTTAAGACACTTGTCTAAGAGACACAACTTCTAAATGGCAGAGTTGGGATTTGAATCCAGCCACCCTGGCTCTTAACTCTATCTTGCCGCATATAATATCATTATTACCGATACAACAACGCCGCTGTACACTGCAGGTCCATGATCTAGATACTTCCAATCATTTTCTTTGGATACTGAAATCTCTACATTTTACAAACGAGAAAATTAAGACTCAGAGAAACGTTCCCAAGGTTATAAAAGTTACCAGGCGGTGGAGTCAGAATTCGCACCCAGATGGCTCAGATTCCGAAGGCTCTTTCCACTGTACTCTACAACCCAGACTGGACTTTCTCTTTACCCTCAACCAAGTAAGCCGCATCCCTCCCCGGGGCCGCCGGCTACACCCACTCCAGCCTCGAGCCTCCAACACACACTTGCTCAGGCGGCGTTCCACCGCCCCCAGCCTCCCCACTCTCCGGGCCACCCACGCCCGGCCGAGGCAGGGCTCTCACCAGGCGGGAGTCGCGGGACCCTCGCAATCTTGTTAGTGATCTCTGCAGAGAGCACTGCGAAGTCCTGCTCGTAGCCTTCGAAGTCGGAAGACATGGTTGCCCCGGAGTGACTGGCCCGGGCCAGAGCTTAGGTCGGGGCAGGGACCGCGCGGGGCGAGGGGGCCGCAGCGTAGGGACTCCGGGAGGCCCCCTCGGGAGCAGAACGGAGAACCGGGGACAGCTCCCAGACCAACCGCTTCCTGGTTGTTCGTCGCAATCTCTGTCCTCCGGAAATTGAGTTGAGTGCGCTTTTTCTTTTCCGCTGAGGCTTCAATATTAAGTAATTCGCCAAGGAAAAGAGCCCCAGTTAGTTCCCCCCAACAGGCTAAGAAAACACGCGTGTTCTCTGGGTTCTGTGAAAGCAATTACCCCCTTCCGCATTCTGGGAAACGGCTCCGGTTCCACAAGCTACATTTGTCAGAAACTTGCTTCCCGAGGGAAGATTGATGCGGAGAACCTCCCGGAAGTGGCTGTAAAGGAGACTTTGCGCAGGGGGCCTGAGCGGGAGAGTCGCAGCGAGGGCGCTGGCGGAGAGACACACGGGTCGTAGCGCGTCTCGCACTCCAGCCTCTTGCAAACAGGATTTGCTTAATGCTTGCCCTGGGCTGAGGTATCCATGGCGGAGTTATCCGAGGAGGAGAAAATCTGTTCCGAGTGAGCCCAGGCAGCCCTGGATGTGCTATGGCTGAGGAGCGGGCACCAGGGACCAGATTGAGGTGAGAGTTAAGGCAGGGAATGGAACCCCGAATGGCGAGACCAGCCTCACCACGATGGTCCTGCCCTGAGTGAGGATTTCTAAGCGCTCTGCTCTGTGACACGGGCGGGAAACTGAGGCACGAGGCAGCGGCATCTGCTCCGTAGGACTCTCTATTATCCATGTATCTCAGATCCACTTCCCCCAACTGAATCCAGTCCAGTCAAAAATAGCCTTCTACAAATCTTCCCCACGCTCGCCGTCCCGCCCTGCCCCTCCCTCGCTCCCAGAGTCACTTCCTCTTCTTTTTTCCTCAAGTCTTATTCATACACTCTTTTAGTCATGTTTTCACACACTTCCTTATCCTCCCCTCCTCTCCTCGCACTCTCTTTGCTTTCACTCTCGCTCCTTTACCTTTGGCCCAAATAATAAGACTGTTAGGCTGGTGCGTTGGGGGCAAATGCAGGCGAATGGTGTAGACCTGGTCTGGCTCATACTTGGCGTAATTCAAGACTCCGTAAGAGGCAGCTTAGAACTCAGTTAGTTCTTTGGCTTGGCTTGTGTTCTAGGTTCAGCTGTTATTGACTTATGACCTTCATCTAATCATTTAGCCTCTCTAAGCCGATTTCTGTTTTATGAAGAAGGAAGCCGAGTTCGATCAACCCTAAGGCCCTGATTCCCAGCTCTAAAATTCTGTCTTCTCCAGCTGTTCACTAAATGTTGGACTGTCACTGCCCCCTAACAAATTGGGGACGAAGGAGTAAAAACAGCTATTTTAGAATCATGTGTTCAGTTTTCATGCCATTCAAACTTGAGCCGTGTTTTGGATATGTCAAAAGTAATTCTTTTTGACATTTGACAAGAAAGGCATCCCATAGTAGTGCACTTGTGAGATGCTTTTGCTTAGGTGCTTATTGTTGTTAACTAATACAGTATATAATGGAATTTTCTTACTGAACTTCCTCATTTTGTTTTCTTTAGGTTGAGTTTCAAACCAAGCTACTGGATTCTCCTGCTTAAGAGTTCTGAGTGCTGGGCCGGCCCCGTGGCTCACTTGGGAGAGTGCGGCGCTGGTAGCGCAGAGGCCGCGGGTTCAGATCCTATATAGGGATGGCCTGTGCGCTCACTGGCCGAGCGTGGTGCAGACAACACCGTGCTGAGAGTTGCGATCCCCTTACCGGTCAAAAGAAAAAAGAAAAGAGTTCTGAGTGCTTAACAGTGAAAAGTGAACTTGAAGGCATGACAATTAAGGAACACACCTGGACTTGTGGCACATGGAAATGCATGCACAGAAAGAGGAAATCTATAGTTCTTTAAAAGTAGGAAGGCATTCTTCCTTGACAAAATGGGTACATTCTGCTCAGTTATCAAGTTTGAAAATCTTCAAGAATTAAAAAGACTTTGTCACTGGGGTCCCACCATAGCCCTTGGTGTTATAGCAATATGTTCTACGATGGCCATGATTGACTCTGTGTTGTGGTATTGGCCCTTACATACAACTGGAGGAAGCGTAAATTTCATCATGTTAATAAATTGGACTGTCATGATTCTTTACAATTACTTCAATGCCATGTTTGTTGGTCCTGGCTTTGTTCCTCTGGGGTGGAAACCGGTAAGAAAAAGATCCCTTAAGACAATGAACTCTAATGATAATCATAGTTAGTTTTTGCCTTACCTATTAACCAACAATCAAACATAGCCTACTCTTTTTTCTGGTAGAGACTAAGTGTATTACTCTAATCACTCATTATTTATGCTCAGATAATTCATTTCATATTTATTTGAAAATATCAATTCAAATTAGCATTCCCCAAAGCAGTTTTATTGAATATTTGTCCTGCATTTAAAAAAAAAAAAAAAAAGAGGTGGGATGGGTACATGGTCATAAATTTAGAGAGCACTGAATATCACACACCTCATAATTTCACAATGCAGTTTGACTATAGGATCTCTTTCATGTAATTAAAATTCCTCAGAGTTGAGAAAAACTTTAGAAAATGCTAGTTTAAATCAAAGTTTTAAAATCATTGCAGTGAAATTATAAAATTGAGAAGTGTAATGTGAATCAATTTATGGCTTCTAAATTGTTAGAAAGTTTATGCTTGTGAATGTTCATATTCCTTGCTGAGGAAAACCACTTGGTAGCTTGTTAAAAATGCTTACTCCCGGGCTCCACTCCAGACCTACTGAATGAGAATCCTCATTTTAACAAAAATCCCCAGATGATTCTTAGGTATATTAAAGTTTGACAAACACTAGTGTATACTGTGTGCAGCATGCTATTCGAAATGGAAACAGTTGGGCAAAATATAATTCATATTCTGAAAAAGCTTATAACCTAGGAGAGAAACCAATGCACTTGTGAAAATAAACTATGTAGTAAAATGTGGTGAGTGCTGTTGAACTAGAAAAACTGAGCAATTTCAGCTAGGAGTTTCCAGAGGAGATGGGAAAGGAGGCATTTCAGATTGAGAGAATGGTGGGAACACATTCAGAAACAGTGGACGGTCTTGTGTGACTTGAAAAGAGATGTGGTGTAGAGAAGGCAGAACAAAGGCAGATCACTGAAGGTCTCGAATGCACAAGAAATTGTTAGACCATAGCAGTTTTCAAGCAGAGCTCTGACGTAGAAGTGTCATGTAAGAATATGGCTGTTCGGATTAGAAAGAAGTTACAGTAAAGGAAACTAGTTAAGAAGTGGTTAGGGCTGGCCAGTTAGATCAGTTGGTTAGAGTGCAGCCTTGTAATACCAAGGTCACGGAAGTCACGGGTTCGGATCGCCAAACCAGCCAGCCACCAAAAAAAAAAAAAAAAAAAGAGGTTAAAATGGCCCAAGGAAGGGGAGGTAACAGATTTCAGAAGGCATCAACTCATGTTTGGATTCATCCCCACTCTGAAATACCTGCCAAGTTGTCAGCTACTATTTTCTGAACTCCTATCATTTTACTAAGATTTGGAGTAAGTAGAACTAGCTAGTGACACTGAATTTGGGTGGAGCTTGGGGAAGAGAAATCAAAAATGACTTCTGGGTAATTAGGAGAGTGATACTGCTCTTAGCAGAAATTTATAGCTCAAGTGAAAGGACTGGAAATGCAAGTTAAGATTCCATCCTTCCCCCATCTCCCATAAAAGAAAATCGTACATAAGAAAGCATTTATTTATAAAGCCTGGTTTGTTACTATTTGGGTTCAGGTATCTGATGTATTTTTGTTTATATTTTGCTGCCAAGGAAAATTCTCAGGATAATATGTATCTCCAGTATTGTAAAGTCTGCCAAGCATACAAGGCACCACGTTCACACCACTGCAGAAAGTGTAACAGGTATGTCTTTCTTTGCTGTCCACTGGGGGCTGATCTACTTGATTACTCGTCTTTTTGTTGTTGTTGTTCTTCTTTCTACCACATCAATCCTAGTTTTATTCTCTGCAAGATGGCCATTTTATAAAAGGTGTTGTCGAAATACTTGTGTTCATACTCTCCATTTTACACTTGTTATTTATCCAGATAATAAGTAAATTTCATTCTTTTTTGTTATAAGTGAAAGGATTTTTCTACAAAAATACAGATTTACTTCGCCCTTGCCCTGTAAGAGCAAGGTAAAAAGTTATACCTTCAGTTTGTTTCTATGTATCAGGACTAATTGTGTTTGTTGACTGTCATCTTAACTAGCTTCAGAATTGTTCTGAGTCTAAATTATAAAGCAGACCTGCTTTTCCCGTTACTTATTGATAAACTTTTATGCTTTATATACATTGAATAAGTGAATCCAGGTGCTTGTTATCATAAGTGTTTTAATATAAAAAACGTAATGGGAAGAAAATTGAATCACTATAAAAAATGTGAAATAAGTTAGGACCATTTTTAGCAAATAACTGTATCTACTGACTCATAAGAAATTTAGGGGACTATTGAAGGCAAATAAAGTTTGCTTTGAGGCCACAACATTCTGTTCTAGCAACAATAAGTAACAGAAGCACAGTCAGACTTTGCTTGGTATACCACATCTTATATTCTGGAGTTCACTTGCTTAGCTCAGATATTGCATATCTAGAAGATACTATGAGAACAGAAAGGAAGGAAGTTACAAGGGTCTGTTTGGGCCCATCAACCCCAGTGGAGATGTGAGAATGATTTTTCTGAGTCTTTATTGTATTCCATCTCAGTCACTGGTTTTCTGAGCTAGAGAAAAACTGGGACCCATGCTCATTTCTGTAAAATGAACCTCTCAATGGACCTCCCAACACTTCTTTAAACAGACTCATTTGTTGCTGACATCTTTTCCTTAGAAGCTATTAGAAAGGCTGCCCTTTCTTGTGCTATTTAGAATTTAAAAAGAGTCACTGTTCACAATTGTTTAAAATCTCATAAGGATTTTTCTTTCTGTTCCATGAAGTATAATTCCCCTGTGACTCATGGACATGCTGGATTCCTGTTTGCTTGATCTTTTGAAGACCAAAGTTTTTTAAAGTAGAATTTTCTGCCTCATGTTTTATGCAAAATTTTCTTGTTAGATGCGTAATGAAGATGGACCATCACTGTCCTTGGATCAACAACTGTTGTGGTTACCAAAATCATGCTTCGTTCACACTGTTTCTCCTTTTAGCACCACTGGGTTGTATCCATGCTGCTTTCATATTTGTTATGACTATGTACACACAGCTTTACAGTCGGGTGAGTGAAAATGTTTGTTATAAAATCATTCATATCTGATTAAATGGTGGTTATCAAGATTATTTAGGAGGTTCCTTTCAGTAATATTCTTTCTGTGATTTAGGTGAGAAAACAGAAATTTGCTTTCTCTCTGTATGGGTTCCTTTTTAAAAAGCATTAAAACTTAATCATTTTAGTATTGTATATATAATTTATTAGATTTCAAGCTTATTAATTATGGTCAGGATAGTGAGAAAAAAAAAAAGAGCAAGAAGAAAAAGACAACACTAGTGCTTTCTGTTTCCATTCAATTCGTGTGGCAAGTTGTTCTTTTGTTCATTTCTAGCTCCAGTGCCCTGGAAGGTGGCTCATAGGACAGACATATATCCTAAAATATAAATAAATTAAACCAGCAAAAGTTTGGGTTGATTTACAGGCAAGTGGTCATCAGTAAAGTTCAGGGGTCACATATAAAGGTCCCAAAAGAAACCTGAAGAGTAAATGAGGAACATAGGCCTGATGGGACTAGGCAGACTGGAGAGTACCATCCTTCACAGAGGGGACAACCCATATTTGACTGCAGTTAGTTTGTGGTTGGAAATCCCCACCCAGTGATGCTAGATTTTTCAATTTTTCAAGAAAAATTTGGAAAATCTGGATTTTTATGTAAAATCTCCTGATTTTTAAATGTTAACACCTAATTAAAGATATTTTAAAACATCATCGAGGCCAAGTAATACACATTTCCTGCGTTTTACCAGTCCTTAACCACTGGTTATGAAACATGAGAAGAAACAACTAAATCCTAGGCTATATTTGTTGCTGTGAAGAATACCATGAGTATAGAATAGTAAGTAAAAGATAAGAGAACAGTTACAATTTACATCAGTGTCTAGTGTTGTTTATGCATATTAAGGTTTGTGGGATCCACCTAACACTTTCTGAGGAAACAACAAAAACATTTGAGAGAACTAAACAATTTTGTGCACTACGAGCTCAAGCCACAGTATTAATAAAAAACAGCTGTTTGCTTTATTTGCATTGGCCAGTGTCAGATTGTCATCTTTTTGATCAAATTGTTTTAAATGTTACAGTAGAGTTTGACCAGTTACCACAACCAAGTATTTTGGGTGTGTGTTATTGTCGTTTATAGCTCTCCTTCGGGTGGAACACAGTAAAGATCGATATGAGCGCAGCCCAGAGAGATCCTCTTCCAATTGTTCCATTCGGATTAGCTGCATTTGCTGCCACCTTATTTGCCTTGGGATTAGCTTTAGGAACAACCATAGCTGTTGGGATGTTGTTTTTTATTCAGGTAAGTTTCTTGGTTACCTCTAGCTAAGAGTTGTCAAGTTATTGGGACTAATTGTTTTTTGTTCTTGTTGTTTTACAAAGCAAACCGACTATATTGAAATTATACACTTATCGAAATATTTTAAAAACACATTTGTGATATAACAACATATATGCTTCTTTAACACATGAAATAGCAATATGTAATGATGGGTCAAATACTCTAATTTTGAAGTAGGGATGAGCATAAGTATTTCAAGAGATCTGTAATATTGTGTGATATGATAATATGAGGGGTCTTCAAAAAGTTCATGGAAGGATTTCTGGGGGTTTTCTTGTTTTTTATTGAAACATGATTGTACATATCTATGGCATACGGCGTTAATATCAATACCTGTGTGCAATATGTGATGCTCAATTAGGATAATTAGTATATTCAACATTACACAATATAGTAATTTTTTGTGGTCCTTTACCAGTTTCTAGCTAACTCTCTCTCTTCCTCCCCCTTTTCCACCTTTGGTGGCCTCAGTTCTGTTCTCTCCTTGTGAAAGTTCAATGTATTATTATGATTGTAGTATCTTTTTAATTTTTTTATTTAGGTTTTTGTTTTTTGTTTTAGGGGTTTTCTTTTTCTTTTCTTTTTTTTTTTTTTAGCTCTATTGGGGCTAATTATAATGAGAAAGTGATAAAAACTGCATTTAAGTATACAGTATGAAATGGAAATTATTTTTACTTATTCCACGTAGGTAAGTAACTTAATCTACTTTGTATTAATCAGATAATTTTGAAGTAATTTTGCCAGAATTTCTAGGTAATTGATTTAATTTTTAAAATGTTAACTTAGAATTATGTAGCACTTTGTAGTACAGAAAGTTCTCACATTTATGGTCTCGTGATCTTCACATCAAAGAGGTTGATAGAAGGGTATTACTGTTTTCTGTTCCTTACAGATGAGTAAAATTGATTCTCAAAAAGATTATGTGACTTGCCCAAGGTACTCATTTGTGTACTCAGTAAGCATAATTATTGATGTTATTTTATAATAGTATATATTTAACAATAGTAATCATAATAATGTAGCTAACACTTACAGATCACTTGAGTAAGGTACTGTTTTAGGCACTTTGTATGTGTTAACTCATTTAATTGCCACAACAATCCTGTAGTATAGATGCTATTTAATGCTTCCTCTCTGATGAGTTACTCTGCTAATTTCTGAGGCTGCAATAATGAAAACGAAGAGGTTCCTACCCTTAGAGAGCTCACAATTAAAAAACAGTGAACTAATACAGGGTCATGTGTACACCATAGATTTGTGTACAAAGTGTCATGAGAAGGAAGGAAGGGACCTAGCTCTGAAGGGACCAAAAACAGTTCTTATGACTCATTTCATTCACTTTATTCATTCATTGAAGGCCTACTGTGGGCCAGGTATTGTGCGAGGCCCTTGGAATATGACAAGGACTCCTGGTCCGGAATTGTTTTTACTGTGACACACTGTCTCTGTGAAGGCAAGCCAGACTTCAAAGAAATGCAAAAACTCTTGTAGAATTGTAATTGCTTCAGGGCCCCAATGCATCCATCACCCAACCCTTTTTGAACTTTCAGTTTTAAAATAAACTGCTTTCGTTTATATTTTGTACTAGCCTAGGACCAATTCTTTGAAAGTTTTTTTCCAGTGCCTATAATTAAGAATCATATTAGAAGTAAACTAAGATCCTGTAGTCTAAAAACCTATATAGGTGGAATTAGTCATATCTAGGAAAATTGAATAATAGAATAAAGACTGAATACATTCAATTTTGGGCAAGTGGAATGTCTAGGTTAACTAGAATGAGTCACTGTTACTTGTCATAAATAGATTACTCATAGATTTTAAGTATATTAAAAATAGTGATAAAAGATTTTAATAGCAAAATACACTTAAGTACTGATTGGACTATATCAGTGTTTTATTAATACTCTGAAAACCGTGCTCTGAAGATATTATTTAAAACATAGATTTTGATTAAAATATTAGGTTCATATTTGATTATGGATTGATATAATCACTTTTATGGAGAGACATTGTAGTGTAGTAGTTAACAGGGACTTTTTTAAAAAAATTTTTCTAAAAATTAAATTTTTTTTTTTTTTTCTTTTTCCGTTTCCGGCAACGGGATTGCAACCCTCGGTGTTGCTCCCGCGCCTCGCTCAGCCAGAGCGGGAACCGGTCTGTATGTGGGATCCGAACCCTCGGGCGGGAGCTAAAAAAATTTTTCTAAAAATTAAATTTTTTTTTTTTTCTTTTTCCGTGTCCGGCAACGGGATTGCAACCCTCGGTGTTGCTCCCACGCCTCGCTCAGCCAGAGCGGGAACCGGTCTGTATGTGGGATCCGAACCCTCGGGCGGGAGCGCCGCTGCGCTTCCCAAGTGGCGCACTTATCCAGTGCGCCACCGGGCCGGCCCAAAATTAAATTTTTTTTATTCAAAATATTTTAACATTTACTTGCACATATTCGGGAGGTACAGTATGTTGTTGTAATACATGTATGTCCTGCACGATGATTCATGTAGAGTAGATACATACTATCTTTTCCTCCTCCCCAAGAACAGAGTTGAATGGACCACATACTATATTACTTAACCTCTGTTATCCTTGGTATTTTTATCTCTGGAATGGAGCAATAAAAGCTCTCTCACAGGGGTATTATGAAGATGATAATCTTAAATGAAGCTAAGTCATATTACTGAATTTTACTGTCTATTTAATTTCCAGATGAAAATAATTCTCAGAAACAAAACTTCTATTGAATCATGGATTGAAGAGAAGGTAAATTTTAATAATTGTATCCTCAATGTTAATGAAATACCGATTAACTAATAGACCAGATTAACTAAGAAGTGACTGAACGTGAAGACTTGGTTTCCTTAAGTCATTTGCATGCCACTAAACGGTAACTGTAGGAAACATTTCAATTCATTCCCACTTTAATATAACTCCCACAGAAATATGCTTCTTTTACACCCTGAGTTGCTTGCTGAAGAGGCGTAAGCTACACATTAAACCATCTGGCCATCATCTCTCAGACTAGAGGAGAAGGCAGCCCATTTGGAATGGAATTTTAATCCTACCAAGATGCCATCAAGTTTTTCTTAGTGTTTTAGACATTAGATACGGCTTATAACATTTACCTTGTCACAGACTCACAGCCTCCAATGTGTACTTCACACTGTCCATTGTGATTCTGATGTAAAATACAAATCTCTACCCTGCTCCCTGCTTAAAACTTCTCAGAGCCTCATCATCATTGCAGCAGGGATTGAAAACCCAAGTGCCGGCAGGGGCTAGGCAGATAACCTAAATGAGGGAGCAAGCCTGTTTACCAAAGAGCTGCCTGACAGATGAAGCTGATTGTTGCCACAAGGGGATATTCACCCAGTATTGTGAGATCTCCTAATTTTAGAGACCTGGATTTCTGTGAGATCTCTCTGTTTTTAAATGTTAGCAAGCAATTCAAATTAAACAAACAAACACCCTTTGTGAGCCAAATAAAACACATCTACATGACACATTTAGGCCCCTGGCAGCCAGTTTGTAAACTTTAATTTACAGCAGTAGTTCTCAAACTTTTTAGTCTCAGGCCTTTTACATTCTCAAAAATTGCTAAGGACACTAAAGAGCTTTGTTTATGTGTATTATATCTATTGATATTTGCCATATTTTCTAACTGAGAGACTTTTAAAGATGTATTATTTCATTTAAAGATAATGATAATAAACCCATTATAAGTTAATAAAGGTAACATTTTAATGAAAAATAATTACATTTTCCAAATTAAAAAACAGGAAGAGTGGCATTTTTTTATTTTTACAGATCTCTTTAATATCTGACTTGACAGTTGGATTTTCACGTCAACTCCTGCATTCAGTTGTTGAGATATATTGATTTGATTGAAGTATATGAATAAAATCCAGCCTCATACAGATAAGTAGGTAGGAAAGGATGGAGTATTTTAATAGGCCTTTTAGGTGACAGTGGATATTCTTCAGTACTACATTAAAACTTGACAAGTGATATTTCGTGTCAGTAAACTTTTTATACTCTACATAAAAATCCATCAGTATCTTGCTCTTTGAATAGGCCTTTTACCAGTACTTGGTTTTACATAATATCAGGCAACTGGTCATTTGGAAAATATTGGGCTGGGTAGATTTTCCGAATATTAACACCTTTCATCATACAGTATCCAAAAATCACATTCATTCATATCACTATCAGTTTCATGAGAAAAATCTTTGAATATTGGAAAGCTGTCAGGCTCATAGTGGTAGATACAAGTTTTCCAAAATTCTGATTTTTACTTGAAAACCTTAATTTTTTCACTGGCAACAAATACTACTAGCTGTTTTCCTTGAAGTGACAGTCTGACTGTTCATTTTTGAGAAAATATTCACCAAATACAGAAGTGTGAATAGCCTTAATTTGTCTGTGACATTACTCATTCTTTCAAGTGCAAATAATATTACATGAAAAAGCTGGCAAAGCTTTTGCTAGCTTGCAACTCAACAAGTGTTTCCCTTGAGATAATCGTTCTACTTAGGCATGCTTTATGTGTTCTTCTCATTTTGTCACACAGAATATTAAAAGGACATATACTTAAGAGTTGAGATTAAATAAAAATAATAACGTTTACTGATTCATCAAGAATGTTCTTACAGGAAATTGTTGTTTTAAACAGTAAGTATACATTGGCAAAGATTATAATGACTACTAATATAGTTTGGTGTCGCTGTCTTGATTTCTGCTAAGGTGCCAGCAATTTTACCCACCATTGCAAATCTCAACACAATGAAAAGACAAATAACATCTTAGTATTATCGTGAAGATAGTTTGACCTTCAAAAGTTTGACCAAGAAAAGGTCTTGGGGACTCAAAGCAATCCCCAAAGCATGCTTTGAGAACCACTGATGTACAGTTAAGTTCACGCTCTTTAGCTTGTACACAATAAGACCTTTCATGACTTCCCCTAATTTGCTTCTTCAACTTCATTTCCCACCTTCCCCACCCCATCTTACACTTTATGCCAAATTAATCATAGTTTGTACATCTTATGCTTCTGTATCTTTGCACATGTTGTTCCCTCTGCCAAGAACACTCTTTCCTCTCTTTTTGCCTGATTTTTTGCTCAAGACTTAGGTTAAGTATTATTTCCTCCAAAGAACATTCCTTGATCCTCTCTAGATTTGGCTAAGTACTTTCTGTTCCCTTTTCTGACAACAGCATGCCTCTGTCATCTTTTTTTTTTAATTTAATTTGTTTATTAGCATGTTCATTGTTACACATCATACTTATTCTTTATGCCCCTTACCAAATCTCTCTCCTTCCTCCTCCTCTCCACCTTCCCTCTCCCCTCCGCCTTCCCCCTCCCTGCTCTAATAACCATAGATCTGTTCTCTCCGTCTGATAGATTAACTGTTCCTCTTGGTTTGTTGCCTAGATGATCTGTCCAGTACTGAGACAGGTGTGATCAAGTCCTCTCCTATTATTGTAAATCAGATGCTTCTTCTATTACTCTGGAGTGTGCTTCTCTGTCATCTTTTAACATGTAGTAATTGATAGAATCCGAATTTCACTGAGTGCTCCTCTTAGGCAAAGACATGTCTTATCATTTTTGTAAACTCTCACAGTTTTTCTTTGTAAATAGCCTAAGTCTCTCTTCTTCAAAATTTAGTTCATTTTGAAGACTAAGAATCTTTCATTTATAAAAAGGGAAAAGAAATTACCCTTTATTATCTGGGTGAGGATGAATTTATACAATTCAATAGATAGATACATGTTATAGCTTGACAATTCTTTTAATAAAACAGTTAACATCAATATCACTTTGTCAGTAACCACAAGAAGCTTTTCCATTAAATACTGTCCCCTGATAACCAAATATTTCAAAGTATCATTTCTAGTAAGCATAGTAAATATATTGACATTAGATTAGCATTGTTTTTTTGTTTTGTTTTGTTTTTTGCTAATGACCAAGGCACTTTGTAAAGTGCCATGCTAAATCTAGAGGTTATTTTAAAACTGGCATTTAGTTGCTGAGTAAAAAATTCAAATAAGTGATTATATTAAATATATAGGAAATTTATAGACATTACCACACTAAAATTTATACAACAAATTTCAATGGGGTTTGTACACTTATTGTTGGGATAAATAATGTATCTTTGTACCACTAGGTGTCAGTGAAACTTTAAAAATTCAAAACCAGTTTATCCTTGAGTTAAAACTAACAATTTAAATGCCTCAGATAAAATTTATTCAACCTGAATAGTTGTGTATATGCATAACATATACCTACAAATGCATATATAAATGAGTATGTATACATGTGTGATGGTATAAATAAATGAAAGAGGTTCTCCTGCACATACCTACTAGCTTTAAAGAATGTTTCCCATAAAAAGATGACTTTCCTGGCCATTCCCACAGGTGTCACTGCCACCCAGGATACATCCATTACATTCTGGTGCACCCCACAAAACAGCTCCATCCTAAATAAATCTTTATTTTCTCGAGGTTCTCCTGCACATACCTACTAGCTTTAAAGAATGTTTCCCATAAAAAGATGACTTTCCTGGCCATTCCCACAGGTGTCACTGCCACCCAGGATATATCCATTACATTCTGGTGCACCCCACAAAACAGCTCCATCCTAAATAAATCTTTATTTTCTCTTGAATCTGTTTATCAACATTCCTTCTCTATACCTGGATTCTTTTGTGCTGCTGAACAACCAGGAGCATTGAGGATTTTTTATGTATGGGATAAAGTTAACTAACTCTTTTAACAAGCCTTTTTGAATGTTTATTCCTAAGGAAACACTGTTGTATATGTTTGTTTGCTTGTTTGTTTTGTTTTGGGGGGCTGGCTGGTACATGGATCGAACCCTGGACCTTAGTGTTACCAGCACCACGTTCTAACCAATTGAGCTAACCGGCCAGCCCCCCCGTCAGATATTTTCTGGGTGATCACAAATTGGTGTTCTGTGTCAGGTTCTTCCTGTATTGTGATAAAGTTGTCTGTCTCTTCGGTGTACAATAACATTACAGCAAGGAGGAAGTACTTTTATGAATGATACAAACTTGATGAATAAGCGTTCTCAATATATTACTGAAAGCCACCCAAGGCAGAGGCGTCTGTCATCTTATATCTTTGTTACCCACAGGCTAAAGATCGAATTCAATATTATCAACTAGATGAAGTATTTGTTTTTCCCTATGATATGGGAAGTAAATGGAAGAACTTTAAACAGGTATTTACATGGTCAGGGGTTCCTGAAGGAGATGGACTGGAGTGGCCGATAAGAGAAGGCTGTCATCAGTACAGCTTAACAGTGAGTATTTTTGTTCACATAGCTCTTCTTTTTTGCATTGCCTTCCACTTAACTTCCCCATAACTCAGGTGACATTTTGTAGTAAAGTAAGTAGTACAAGTGTTTTCAGTACAGCAAAATGAATCTAAGTTAATCCTAAAACATTCCTCGTATCGTGTCTTTTCCTTTATTTAAATCTCTCCTTAACTCTCCATCCCTGTGAGATAAAGTCCTGATTCCTTAACTTAGTTTTGTAAAATCTGGCCTAAAACTACCTTTCAACTTACAGTGTCGTATGAACTCCTTGTACATTCCTTTGCTCACACTGTTTCTCTGTCTCATATGACCTCCTCTCTATGTGAAATTATTAAGACCAGTTCCAGTCCCACCTCTTCCAGAAAGTCTAACCTACCCACTCTAAACTCATCTGGATTTGGCACTTAAGCATATACTACCGTATGGTAGCTCATGAGGTCTTATGTTTTCATTTAATTCTGTATTTTATGTCTTTAACTTAACTTGACAAGATGCTAGGACAGAGATCATGTTATCTTTATTTCCACTACTATATCTAATATACTACTATTTAATAGTTGCTAGGTAGAAAAAAGTAAATTATAATGATGACTTTTAGTCAAGACTCATTTTTTAATAAGTTTTGCAGTTTGTCTGCTGTGTCTCTAAGGGATCAGTGAATCTCAGTGTGTTTACCTTTGGTACCAGCCTGGAAGCTTCTGAGGACAGAGAACACATCTCCCTGATCCCTGGGCCACAGTGAATGCTCTAGGAATATACAGAGATGAAGACATTAGAGGGTGAATACTGAGAAGAAAGCCCTACTCTCAGTCCCTGGTTCTTAGTCACGGGGCCTTTTTTCCATGCCAAAAGACCAGAGACCTTTAAATTGCTAGCAATTTGAAATACTAGAAAATTGGGAGTTTGTCATTAGGATAGGCTTTTTTTTCAACATTGAGACAAAAGACTTAATTTTTTCTTTTTATATCTTCCAAACAGATAGAACAGTTGAAACAAAAAGCAGACAAGAGAGTCAGAAGTGTAAGTAATTCTTTTACATTGGAACTAATTTCTTTTTCTTTTTGTCAAGTTCTACACTTCTGTATAGTATTTTCAATTGCCTTTGAGTGGAAACCACCTGTTGGCTGTTGTTAAATAATATTCCTTGATACATTTGTTGAAATTTGGTGCCCTTTAAATTGCCAGTGTAGGAAAATAATTATTTTCAATAGCTTGTTAATATGAAGCCCATCCTTACAACTATATTATTAGATATGATAACCACTAGCCACATGTGGCTGTTTAAGTTTAAATTAATTAAAATGAAATAAAACATTCAATTCCTTGGTTGCACTAGGTACATTGTAAGTGCTCAGTAGCTGTATGTGTCTAGTAGCTACCACATTGGGTACCACAAATATAGAACATACCCATCATTCTAGAAAGTCAAATAGCACTGCTGTAGAATTTAATTCTTAGTTATGTGCTTGAAATGAGGGGTAAGAAAAGCCCTGAGAACTAAAAATACCAGTTGTTTCCTGTAAGGGTACTGAGTGAATGGGGAACTGGGAGGGAAGGCTTGTCACTGGATATTCTACCTTTAAAATTTTAAATTAAAACTAAAAAACTCGTATCATGGGTAAATATTCAAATTGTTCTTTTGATCACTTATGACAGGTTCGATATAAAGTAATAGAAGATTATAGCGGTGCCTGCTGCCCTTTGAATAAAGGAATCAAAACCTTTTTCACAAGCCCCTGCACTGAAGAGCCTAGAATACAGCTACAGAAAGGGGAATTTATTTTAGCTACAAGAGGTTTACGGTAAGTAATAGGAAATACTGTATTTCTTCTTCAATGACAAAATTGACATCTAGCCCCCCCAAAATTAATTTTAATATTTTAAATATTTTCAGATACTGGTTGTATGGAGACAAAATTCTTGATGATTCCTTTATAGAAGGTATGGAAACAGAAGGAGATGTTTAAAGGACAAGACTGCTAGCAATAATTCCAAATTTTATAAGAATAACTTTTATAAACAATCACATGGCAAGTGCATTAAGGCAACTGCATAGGAGGGGACATCATTAAGCAACAAAAAGAAGCTCCTTATATATTTCTCCATAGTACTTGTATTTTGTCAGGTTTTTTTAATGATAGTTAACTTTTGAGCTCATACCTAACTATGTGACAGGCATTTGTGTAAGTGCTTCACTTGTGATACAGGTTGAGCATCCCTAATTCAAAAATCCAAAACCTGAAATGTTCTAAAATCCAAAACTTTTTGAGTGTCAACAAATTGCTCAAAGGTCAGGCTCAAAGGAAATGATCATTGAAGCATTTCGGATTTCAGATTTTCAGATTAGAGATACTTAACCAGTACATATATGCGAATATTCCAAAATGTGAAAAAATCCAAAATGTGAAAAAATCCAAAATCCAAAACATTTCTGGTCCCAGGCATTTCAGATAAGGGATACTCAACCTGTATTAAAGTCCCCAACAGACCTCTGAGCTAGGTAGTATAATTTACATTTTATAGATGAGGGAACTGAAGCACAGAGAAGCTAAGCAGCTTGCCCATAGGCACACGATAAACACAGGGAGAACCAGACTCAAATGCAAGCCGTCTGACTCGAGTCTGGGCACCAAACCCCTATGGCATATCCTCCTGCTTTGGATATGTGCCCTCTTAAGTTATTATAAAAGAAACTTTCTTTGTTCATTTATTTATTTATTTATTTCTCCTGTTTAAGTTTTAGAATTGTTTCTTTTAAAAGTGAAGATAAGCCAGGGATACTCTTTAAAAAAAAGCACTGAGTTAGTCATAAATTAACCCCATATGACAGCTTAGATAACCTTGATATAAAAATTTATATGTTAGAAAAAGTCTAAAAAGGAGATTCACAGAGGCTTTAGGGATATAGTTCCCTGGAACAGACACAGTGTGATTGTGTACCAAAAACACTTTTCATCATCATGCACATGTAAGTGAATACCCATATTGAAAAGTTCCCCCAGTTCCAGTTAGGAGCTGTCTTGAACCACATTAGTCCCTTTCCCAGATAATGGAATTTGGGAAATATCTTTAGGAGCATTTAAAAACCATATTTTTCCCCTCCAGCTGTGCTCATAAGAGACGGTGAAGGGGAAAAAAAGTATAACTAAAAGTTTATTAAATTGAAGTAATAGGACTTATTGGTCTCTGCCATGCATCTATTCCACCTCAAACTTCATTTTCTCCCTCAGGTGTCTCAAGAATGAGAGGATGGTTCCCTAGAAACTGTGTGGAAAAGTGTCCCAGTGATGCTGAAACAGATCCATCCCCAGAGGGCGAGAAGAAAAATAGATAGCCACTGTTAAAATGAAATTACTCTTTAAGTCTACTCCATTACTTGAAAATTATACATATTACTAAAGAATTATGCAATGAGCCTACTCTGGTTAAGGTGTTCTTTTCCTCAAAGGTGCCCTAGTACCATGATTTAAAGATTTTTATTACTGTTTTGAAATGAAGAAGCCATTCTGCATATGCCTTTGAATTCCTGCCCCTCTTTACAACTTCTTCCCCCCAAAAGGAAAAACATTTGATCCAAGTAAGTTGATTGCATTTTCTCTAGGATATTTTTATGCGCTGCACACTATGGACCTCACCTACAGAAATAGTTCCCCATTTGCCAGGAGCATCTGCATGTGATGCTTTTGTTTTCCCTTTAGTTGATATTTCTTATATAATCTAGATACTATAGAACTTAATTTGTCAGATTCAATATAAGCTCAAATTTTGTTACCTGTCTTTTAATAATGCACATTTTGTCAAATCAAATAAAGATCAATGGATGTTCTGTTATAAATCATAGTTTTTACTTAAAGCATTTCTCCTTTTGCTGACAAAAAGATGTTTGTCTTAGTTCTTTATGGAAAAATTGCTCTGCTGTCCTGTGAAAAACAGGTACCTTGAATTGTTAGTCTTAACACATGACTTATTCACCTCAATATATGAACCCTATTAATGGCATGTAGAGATCACGACATTCTAGGAGACTTTAAACCTAGTAATATTACACTGCTCATCAACACGTGAATATATCAAAAACTGAAGCTTGCATAAGTGATAGGATCCAGGCTAGTGGACTTAGATGCTTAAAGACAGGCTTGTCTAAACAAGGAGAATTATGGAAGAAATGAGAAAGCCTATATCTCCAGACTCCAGTAACCTAGTACAGTATTCATTAATGCTTTCCAAGGCAGGGACCTTGAAACTGGGAGCCAAGCTTGTAGTAGTTAAGAATAAGGAAAGGACACTTGAGGATTCAGTAGTCAATGAAATGACTCTGTCCCATTCCAGCGGGAGATGGACAAGTAAAATATTTGTCAGAGGGAGTTATAAAGAAAGAAGGTGGGACAATCTTGACTTGCCATTTGAAGCAGATGAGGGGACAAGGCCTGTGCCTCTGGTTATTTGCATTTTAGGCAGAGGGAAATACAAGAACAAAAGCAGGCTGGAATGTGCCTGGCGTGTTTGAGAAACAGGAAGGTAGCCGGTGAGGTTCAGCTGGAACAAGGGAAGGGGGAATAGGAGAGGAAGTCAAAGAGATAAAGGGCTAGACCACGGAGGGACCTCTGAGTTAATTCGTTTTGTTTCAGATATTCAAGAATGGCATTTCTTCAGGTTTTCTGGGCTCCGGGTTTAGAAAGACCATCCAAGAGAATCCTCCTTAACTCTATTAGAGGCTAGAAAAGAACCCTATTAAAGATTACTTAGAGTACTACAAAGAAGGTAAAGGAGAAAGAGTATGAATTATGCTCAGCTGGATTTTCAGCTCGACTGATAGTTTGATTATTCCCAGCTGTGGGATAAGAAGGCTTGGTCCTTTTCTTCAGTAGTTATCAAACTTGGTTACATGCTAGAATCATCGGGGGACCTTTTAATAATTCCAACGTCCAGACTTTACCCCAGCCACTTAAATCAGAATCCCTGGAGTGGCACCCAGGCATTAGTATCTTTTTAAACTTCTTAGGTGTTCTAATGTGCAGCCAAGTTTGAGAACCGCTAGTTTACTTGGTTTTTAAGTGGTCCTTGTTTAATATAGATTCTCACCATGGTCCGTGAGATCACAAACACCACCATGTTAGTATCTGCAATAGTTTATTTTAAAGACTTTACATTAACAAGTAGAAGCAACACATGTTATCTGGGGGTGAAGTACAGCAGGAACTGGAGTCCAGGGGGCAAAGATCAGTTGGTTCCTTCACAGAAGATAAGCCTGTTGTGTGGGTGTTATGCTTGCCCGTGGATCCTTGTTCCCAGTGCAGGAGGTTTTTATTCAGTGCTTGCTTCATTTACTGGAAAAGTTCACTGGACATATGTTTCAACTCCTTCCTGCACAGCTTCCAGCTCAGCAGCAAACTGTAGGGAACAGAGTTAGTCACCAGCTACTACTATAGATAACACTTTAAGAACAACATTATTTTGGGTCAACATGTTATAGTGGATCCTTGTTCCCAGTGCAGGAGGTTTTTATTCAGTGCTTGCTTTATTTACTGGAAAAGTTCACTGGACATATGTTTCAACTCCTTCCTGCACAGCTTCCAGCTCAGCAGCAAACTGTAGGGAACAGAGTTAATCACCAGCTACTACTATAGATAACACTTTAAGAACAACATTATTTTGGGTCAACATGTTATACTCTCAAATCAGAGATCTTACTAGAGAGTTTAGAAAATGTTTAGTATGATCAGACTTTTCACTTCTGTACACAGACTTTAGTGTACACAGAAGTGCACAGAAGAAATGTGTCACATAGATATGATTAATATGAGTGATAAGTTAAAAATTTAAAATTTTAGTGGTTTTGTGGAGTACCTAGAAAACATGAATCACAAACAGCTTTTCAGCACTTAAAGATCTCTTAATTCAAATATTAGAAGGCCTAAATAAGTATTGGGACTGTCAGTAAGTTAGGTTTACTGCAACAAGACTAGAAGTCACAGAGAGTTCGTGTCACCCTTGAGCTAGTGGTCACTTATAAAGACCACATTAAGGTTGGAGATCACAAGGAAGGGATGTGGAACACACACTGGGACCTTGGTGAAAGGCATGTTGATAAAAGTAGCCCTAAAGCCTTCCTACCAGCAGTATTTAAGATGATAAGGACAAAATTTATTTATTTCAGGCCTAAGCTTTTACATTATAAGTCTGTCAATATTAAAACAAAAGCTATGGTTGTATAGTTGAGTAAGTAAAACAACAAATAGGAGGAAAGACAATAAAATGAGTGTAAGAATAGTTTTTAATCCATATTCTCACAAGGCAGTGCAGAGTGGGCAGGCCGGTTGCATCTGAGCCCTTTCCAGCCATATGTACCTTAACCTACTCCTGGATGTTCTTATACAGGCTGTCAATTTGGGTCCGAAAGCGTCTGGAAAGCTCTCCACGCTTTGCTTTCAATGTGGGTGTCAAGAGCCCATTTTCAATGGAAAATGGCTCTGGGTGAAGAACAATGTTTTTGACCTGAGAGGAGAGGAGCACACACAAATACATGCTTATTAGCGATTTGGACTTTTCTGCAGAGCCCCTGAGAGCATTGCGAAGAACTTCAATCAAAGAATATTTCCCCTTATAAAAGCAGTGGGAGGGTGAAGATAAAAGTAACACATGCCCATTCTCACACACAATTTGGGAAAGAAATGAGTAGAGAAAAGGAAAAATGGATAATGAACAGCAAAAAGGGACTACAAAAGGTCAGTGCCATCTGTAGTTAATGGTATAAAATCTAAAATCAAATTGTAGGAAATCATACATTTAAACCCCATTATAAATGGGAACTTTAAATAAAACTTTCTCGCATAACTTAGGCCAGGGTAACATCAGTAATACACACCTGTTCAAAAGATTTAAGGCCACTTTGTTTCCCGACATTCTGCAAGTCTTCTAAAATGGCTCCCTTTACGACCTAAGAATACAAAACATTGCTTAGAGCGATGGATGCTGGAAAAAGAGCTTAAATGAAAGGCTAAGCATGAACCAACTCAAAATGCCTATAAAAACTGATCTGGAAAAAAGCAGGACATGAAAGTATGTACAAGCACATTATACACCTAATATTTATCAAAGAAAAATTAAAAGGAGAAGAAAAGGCAAAACTAAATGTTAACGGGGGTTTTCTCTGGATGACCTTTTTTATTTATTCTCTTATTTTCCAATATTTCCCCCACAATCAACATATTACTATAAAAAGAATAGTATTGTTTTGTTTTTTAGACTCCCCATCCTATCCCCAATCTAATAAAACCATTCAATCTGTTTGGGGTGCAGCCACCTCTGAGATGCGGGAAGAGTCTATTGCTCCAGAGAGGAGGCTCTGGGAACATCTGGGTGTCCCACAATGGACCCCCGAGTGTGCATAAAGCTTTTCTAACTGAGACTTACTTGGCTTTGACAAAGTTCTTCAAGGGTGCCCTTAACCCCAAGCTTGTTTGCAAACGAGGGAAGCACATCTGGGTCAGGAATCACCACGCCCACTAAGGATGACTACGGAAAAGAAACAGAAGGTACAGGGGCACTAAGAACTCGCATAGGCATCGCCCTCAGGGGTAAAGACAGCAGGCCTATATCATTGTGATAGATATTTCCCCCAAACCTCAAATTCAGTACTAGTGTCCTATTCTTTTTTCACCATATATTCCCAATCCCATGGAACTAACCCCATTTCCCCACTCAACATCTCATTACAAAGATGTTCCATCCAAATTTGATGGGTCAACATTAAGCTTAAAGCATCTCTGGCCTGTCTGTGTTAATCCTCCCCCCATCCCAAAAAAGCTAACTTTAAGCACAGTGTGTATAAAACAGTTTGTTGTGCCAGAGGAACGTCTACTGGGGTAGAAACAAAGGGTACTGAGGAGTTCTTTTTTTTCAGTGAATGGCTACCTTTTAACAGAGCTGTTTTAACAACTCTGGCTTGTTTCAGAGTCCATCATGGTTTCAAAAAAAATATTTTTTTTCATTGATATTGCCTTATTGAGGTTTGGAATGTAGCTTCATTTCTTTAGTTTTATAAGCTAGAATCTTCTCATTCTGAACCCATTATACAAATTTCCCATACCTACAGGAACCAGCCTGGTCTGTGTCTGAAAATGGCTATTGTTGAAATGATATACTACCTGTAAGCTTTCCCCGTGTACAAAAACTTGTAACACTGGTCTACTCCTGATGTAGATATTTTCTATCTTCTCTGGAGCAATGTATTCTCCTTGGGCCAGCTTGAAAATGTTCTTTTTACGGTCAATGATCTTCAGAGTTCCATTCTGTTTTAGGCAGATAAAACCATCAGTATTTTTGAGTCCTAGGGGTAGTGTCAGTGCGGAGAGTGGAGGAAGTCACAGATGTCTTCCTTCTTTAAAGCCGATTTCTCTAGAGACTTTTGGGCAGCCTTTCATCTCTCTTTCTTGGCTTTAGGGAAAGGGGAGAGATGCAACTTCCCGCAAGAACCTGTCTATATTTTATGTCCACGTGGAGAATCAATGTGCAGCGTCAGAGAAAGTCCCCGGGACCTGCTGGGGTTATGCAAATTGTTGCTTCACCCAATAAAGAAACTCTGCAGCTCTCAATTTCCAATAACTTAATTTGCAATTATTCCATTTCCAGAACTCTCAGGAATAGGGAAGGTGTTATATTTTATTAGGACTTTTGAATTAGCCCTCCCCCTCTTGACTCACTCTTAGGTGTCCCTCTTGTGAGATCCAGGAGCAGGCTAAAAAGCTCCACGGTGCTAATCAAGGAAGTCAATAACTGGGCTCGTTAGGACAGAAACAGGGCTGGGGAGGGCTCTCTGACCAGCCACCAGAGGTCACTTACAGCTTTATTTCTCTGAGCTAATTGGTCTGAAGAGCTTAGGTTCTTAGGGATTTGAGTTGCAGAATTGGGACAAGTGGCAAATACAATCCACATGATCACACCTAAAGTAGGACAATTGACTGAACCAACACTGGGAACATCAACAAGGCTGACTCAAGAAATCAGCCATCAGTTAATTCAGCCTAACATTCGTCATCTGAAAGTAAGAAGGTCTGGGCTTTTATAATCCTGGTGTGGGGACATATCTATTGCCTACATCCTAAGCTTATTAGAGCAGGGAACTCTTATTAAATAGAAACAGATGTGCTAATAAGATACTACTGAACCCAAATCTATGAAATACATTATTAGGACCAGTGTTCTCAGAGTTCTCCTTGTCAAGCATTCCTTTAATCTCACCTAAATCTTCAATATTGAGCAAGTAAAGTTTTAAGATCCAGTTAAAACTACTCCTATTCCTGCTTACCCAGCACACAGTAGACAAAGGTTTTGAGAGGGGAGACCTTTGGAAAATCCCCTTCATCACTACTATGCCATACTTGCCTTTCTTCTTAGGAAAACAGATAGGATTGACAGCTACTACTGCTAATTATCAGCAAGCTATCCTAAAAAATGTCTCTGTGTTTTCCACAGAGAGGGGTTGTGAAGGTCACTGAGAGACAAACATTAGCCTCTGCAAACACTTGATTTAGAAATCCTTCTTGTTTCGATACATCGCTATGAATTAATTAGGAAGAATCATTTCTTTGAAACTCATAAAAGGCAAAAGTTGTGGGCTCATGGAGTTATGAAACCACAATTTCTGCCTCAAAAAAAGTAAAAAAAAAAAAAAGAAAACCAGTACTACACCTTCCTCCCTCTTCCTTGGAAAAGTCACCTAATTTTCCCTTGGCTGTGAGCCAAATCTATTCCACTGCAAGGGACCCATGCCAACTCTGAAGTCCAAAACTAATCTATTTAAGAATCCTACGTTCAGTTTGGGTCTGGAAACAGTGCCACTACCATTGACTACTGCTGGTGGTGTATTTACTAATGAATAAGGCAAGAAGAAACTCTTGAGTCTGCATCGTGATGTCTTCTACAATATTGTGATCAAAATAGCAAAAGCACTCTTTGGCCTAGAGAAAGAAAGCCTCTTTAGCTTTGGCAAATCCTAATTACACATTAAGTAACTTGCTTAGGATTTTACAGTGTTAGTCCATGGAAGAGCTGCAACTAGAATATGGATCTCCCAACTCCCAGCCCACGTTCTTTCAATTGGATATTCTCTTTATAGGGTGAAGGAGCCATAAGCCAGGTAGGATACAGACCTAATCCCTTCCAGCTGCCTCAGCTGATTAACCTACTTGCATTCCCTTTAAGCAAATTATTCTCCCCAGTCCAGTGGCATAGAGTCCCAGAAGTTATGAAGAAATACCCACCGGGAGCCATTGACCAATGTCTCCTGTGTGAAGCCAGCCATCCTTGTCCAGGGCTTCCTGTGTCTTCTCGGGGTCCTTCAAGTATCCTTTGAACACGTTGGTGCCCTTGATGCAGATCTGCACATCAGACAGTAGAAGGCAGTGACAGTAGCAAAGGCTGCTACTTCCAGCAGGGCACTTTACAAAGCAACTACTCCTGCCTCAAGTGGGATTTCATGGTCTCCACTATAGCGTGAAGAGCACCAGATTTTAGTCACCATTATAGGGGATAGGAAAATGAGGATCAGAGATGTTTAACTCCTTGCTGAAGAGCTCAAAAAAGTCAAACCCAAGCTTACTCACAATTATGTCCTCTTTCTGATATTAACATCCCCACCATGATTGTCTCACTACAGGACATGACCTACCCACCTCTCCTTCATTGTTTGCTGAAAAGTAGTTCATGTCAACCACATCTTCTAGCTTCACATAATTGCAAGACAAGGGGGCTCCAACATGGCCTAGAACACATCACACTACATCAGCTGGGAAATCATAAATGGTGTCCGGGCATATTTTTGAGATATTCATAGATTGATTCTAAAAGAGTAAGACTGAAAACTCATCTGGCACTAATGCTGAATAGCCAAGATATTTTGCTGAACCCAAACTTGAGTCTGGCACTTGCCACATTAGTCCAGAACTTCAAGGTTATCTAAACTTATACATCCTAGTTCAGTCAGAACCCTTCTTCCAACCACTGCATTTCCTGCCCAGCAGATGGAGGACCTACCTGATGTCCAGTCCCCAGGTGATGTAAATGTACAGCCAGCTGTGCATTCTGTTTGACCATATGCTTCATACACCTGGGAAACCAAAGAGCTTTGGGACTTACTCAAGAGAAAGCATGAGTTGGCCAAGTCCTATGGCCAAGACATGAGGAAAGCAAGATCTCTATGTATTCAAGAACACTTAGTGTCTTAAAACCTTGAACTTGTGCCTGAGCTGCTAAGCCTTTACTGCCGAGTATTTTGGTGACTCAAAACCATGCTAAGTCTTTACTGCCAAGTATTTTGGTGATTCAAAAACCAAAAGGGTCCAGAAATAGGCCAAAGTATAGAAACTTATATGAAAATGTGGCATTTCAAGTAGGTGGGAAAATGTAAGTTATTCATTGAGTGATATGAAAGCCAGTGGCAACTGGACTTGAACCTGGGCAATGGAACACCACCGAAGGAACTAAAGAAAGGCAGTAGCACTTTTTGAGGGAATTAGCTTAAGCTGTGGTATAGAATAGGGGTTGGCAAACTTTCTGTACAGTGCAAGATAGTAAATATTTTTGGCTTTGTGAGCCCCCTGACTTCTGTGTCAGCCAATGTAATTCTTAATTCTGCCAATGTAACACAAAAGCAGCCATAGACCATATTTAAATGAATGGGCATGGCTATGTTTCAATAAAACTTTATGTATGAAAACAGGTGGTGGGCCATATTTGGCCTGTGCTGCAGTTTGCCAACCCTTGGTATAGAAGATAATCTTGACTGGAGAGAGGCTGGTGACAGGAAACAAGATCAAAAGCTACTGCAATAGTGGGCATGACCTGTGACGGGCAGAGTTGGTAGAGACAGAGAGGAAGGCTTTCAGAAGATATTTCTGGGAGGAGGGTGGCAACAGGACCTTCTGATCTACTGGTTTTAGGGACTGAAGAAAAGAAAAGTATTAAGAATGGCCAAGAGGATGCTAATTTGAAAGATTAGAGGACTATCGCTTTGGCATTAATTCAGAACCTTTTTTGATTGTGGTTATATGGGATAGGGGACATTCTCTGTAAGGACAAATCTGTGCCTATTTTGCTCATGCTGTGCATGGTTTGTTGAATGAATGAACTAGTTATCCATTTAGGGTAAAAATAAGACAATATCAATGCCCAAGCCCTTGTACAAATTCCAGATGGAGCAGAGACTTATGGAAAATATAAGATTGCCAGAAAATATGGGTGAAAACAGTCTTATGAAATGTTGTGGGTCAGGAAGTCCTATCTAAATAATTCAAAAACTGCAAATAGAAAAAATTAGTCAGTTTGATTACAAAAGCATTTGAAACATTCATATAGCAATTTGCAAACCAAAAAAGATGAGAATATAATATAAAAAACATTTCTAACAGGACAAAAGTTAATATTACTCTATAAAGTACTAAATTACTCTGTGAAGGACTCGTAGAAAGCAATATGAAAAAGAGCCAAATTATCCATTGCCCATTTTTCTAAAAGGAAGTAATACAGTCATCCATAAAGAAATATGTGTCAAGCAATAGAAAGATGTTTGGTGTTAAAAGAAACAAAACTGTAACAAAACTTTTCATGACTCTGATTGGCTAAGATTTAAATGACTGCTAAAGCCTTTCAAGTGTCAATTGGGTGAGCAAATAAGGCCTTATGCATTCACAGGAATGTATAAAATAGAAAAGATCTTTCTAGGGGAAAGTTTGATAATATACATTAACATGTTTAAAATATATATATACACGCACACATACATACATACTTTGTCCCAAGAATCCCTTCTTACATGGATTTATCCTAGGTTAATAATTGCATAAATACCAAAGAGTATACAAGTATCCTTATGACTTCATTAAGTATAACAGTGAAAAAATGGTAAGAAACTCAAGTGCTCATCAGCAGGCAACTAATTACTTGAGTACATTCAATAGACTACTGTGAAATCATTAAAATGATGTAGATCTTTATTTCATGAGGAGCAATGTTGATGGGCACTATTTAGCAAGTGTTTTAGAACAATGATTCCATTTATCTAAAGGTTTCTACCCAGAGATGCATAAAGAGGTGGCTAGAAGGATATTTTTCTCCTGATTTTGAGAATTTGAGTGACTTTCTCTTTGGTACTTGTTAGTTGTATTTGCATTTTTATTTAAAACAGTGAGCTTTACTTGTGTAAAAGACAAGCTATCTGCAAAAAAGGTGCTCGGCTTACCGGACATCCCATTGCTGCCCGAAGGAACGTCAAGACTTGACTGGAGATGGGGGCAGCTCCAGTGACCACGATGCGAACCTTCCCACCCAGACTGGCCTGTTCAGTTGAAACAAAAGACCTGCTGAAACCTATTCTCTTAGCTTCTGTTTCCTCCACTGTAAAATGGTATAACAGCCTACCCAGGGTTGTTGAGAATTAGGCTAGTTAATTTATAGAGCCCTAGAACAGAGCCTGGCATTGTAGAAAAGCACTTAAAACGTTAACTGTTACTGTCATTACCATCCGTAGCCGGTAAAAACAAGAATGTTATTTTTTTTTTAAATTTAAGTTCCTTAGGTAATCTGCACTCTTGGGCCCCTCAAATTATTTAAAATCTCAACAGACCACCTAAGAAAATAGGAGAGAGTGCTAGAACCTATATAAAATCTGTTTTCTGCTTTTTGACCAATTTCCTTTAGTGGCAAAGTTGTACGAGAGGGATTTTGAAAGGCTAGTGGACACAAAGTCTGAAGGGAGCTCCAGTTAAAGAAATGCTCAACCGTCAGAGGAAAAGCAAACTAAGCGGAGTCAGTGGGCAGCCCAGAGATCTGCCTGGCTCTGTCTGGGACCCTCCCAACCTACCTGGATCTTTGAAAAGATGATCTTGTCCCAGAAACTGTTACGCCTGATAATACCCTTTTTCACTTCCTTAAATTTACTGTTAACAGCCCAGTTCAACAAGAACTTCTTCAAGGGTGTCTTGGCTTCATTTTGTACCTGCAGGATGACAGCTTCTCTTAGTTGGAAACCTATTGGAGATGCTCACCAATGCCGTTAGTTAGTAAACAAGAGAGGGTGCATTCTACTTTATAAGGAAGTTCCACACTCAAGAACTGGGTTGCTGAATAATTATGAGCCCAGAGAATTATGATCACACTCAGAAAAAAGTGAACTTAGTACATACGTATAGAGTCCCCATTCCCCATTCCTGGTCCTTGGCAAACAGCTTGGACAAACGAGATAAGCATGTCATCAAAAAGTGGTCAAAAGAACCACCTACAAAGTCACCTGGGGGCATTAGATTAAAAACAACAACAACAACAACAACAACAACAACAACAAAAAAAAACCCCAAAAACACCAGCTCAATGGTCACCGTCCCTAGGGCTTTTGATTTAGTAGGTCAAAGAATGGCCTAGGGATCTGACTTTTTAAAACAAGTACCACCTTTCCTTCCAACTCTCCCTATGATGCTTATATAACTAAACTTGGAAAATGACCACCCTTCTCTATAAACTAATGGGGCTTACACCATGCAAACCCAACAGACTTTCCTACTTAGGTCATTCTTCCTTTTGGGCTTAATTCTAACACCATTTTCCCAGCTCACATTAGTTGCCTAGTCTCCCTGACTCTGGCCTCATTATGA